GTACAATTAAAAGACCCAAACTATGGTCTGTTGTCAAAATAGTTTGTTTTACATATCTTCTCCCAATCTGTATCCAGAGACCATATAATAGTCTATTATATGGTCTCTGCTGTATTATAGTCACAGAATGATATTATTTCAACTTCCGCCCAGCCCTTACTGTAATGTTTACGCCCTAAATGACGCATATCTAGATATTCCCAGGTTCAGCGTTTGTTATAATCTGCAGGAAAACTCACTGCAGGGTTCGGGTTACAGAGTAAACATACCAAACACCCATGGCTGGCGGAGACCAACATCTTCAGTAACATTTACATCTGCCAACGCTTAATTCGCAAGTGGTGAGGCAATAAGCTAATGAGGCTAAGGGTCCTGTACCATGTTTGTGAAATATCTATGCTGCCTTATATGAAGTCGATAATTTGTATGGAGGTGCATTTAACAGTTTCACCCAGTAACAGTAAAGCATACAGATAATTCGTTTCGGTACTTTGATAGGTTAATAGGTTTACATTATATTCTATGATATTGGGATGCCAAAATGATTAACATTATTATATAATGTATAACAAATCAGACAGCAAAAAGCAAAAATTAAAAACGCATGAGTAACATAAATGATGTCAGGTAGTAAGCTTTCAATAATTACAGAAACTGCTTAGTTATCTAACTTTATGAACTAATTGCAGTCACTAGAGTTTTCTATAATCTACCCCAGAGATGGAATCAAAATAGGTGTACAGTATATTCCGTCGGGTAACTGAAATTTGAGAAAACGTCCGTATGGGACAATATCTGTATTCCGAATCAAAAAGAGGCCATCCCATATAGTGGTGTAACGATTCATCGATAGTATTCGTAGTATGCGATACGAATGCATCAATACAAAACACATTTAGGCAATACATGAGGATATTTATATCACGAGGGTCCATGATACATCGATGGATCGCCACAAGAGACGATATATCCCTATACTACTTAAGTACTACTTAAAGTTGTAAGGAGTATTGCATTAGGAATAGGAATAGGAAAGGAGTCTCTTTGAAATCCTTCTGTAAATTAGAAACAAATTGAGCCTTATAGGAATTTGTTTGTATCTGTTACATGAACCAAGGAGTTGGTGTAGAAGTGAAAGAGTGTAAACATGTTTCAAACTCTGTGAACTGTACAATACTTGTCTTCAAGTAATTGAAATATGTTTTAGTTGTTTGACAAATAACACCATTTATTTACAACTATGAATGATGTCTTAGCTTTGTTAAGAAAGAGAACAGATACAATTTAGATAGCAGACTTAAGAGTTTTTTTCAGTGATTCTGATTTCTGGTATAAATTACATTGAATTGTTTGTGAAAGAATTGGTGTAGAAACACAACTTCCCAAAGGAAACTTCAGTTTCAAATTTATTTGAGGCGGGCTGAACATGTTTGACTGAACCTTCTTCAACATGAAATACTGAAATTTTATTAGATCAACAGCTCTTTAAGTGTGTGTGTGTGTGTGTGTGTGTGTGTGTGTGTCTGTGTGTGTGTGTGTGTGTGTGTGAATGTAACACAGGTTTTAATGAATTTATAACTATTTTAAGTCACGATATGGCTGAAATATTGCCACTATGACTATAAACTTTAACTCACTCACTCACTCATGATATATCGTCTCGCCTCATTAAACTGGTATCAGGATGTATCGTCTCCCCACTTAGGCTACGAAACACAGCTCTAATACCAAGTATGTGCATATTAACACATTTACAACTGTTACAGTAATTTACATCGGGAATCAGGAATACATTGTAATCATCTTTTTTTGAAAGTATAGATAGCTAAAATTAGGGACCTACCGGTTCATGTCTGTGTGAACACACCTGTCTGTGTTTTATTGCAATAAGCTGTCTCTGCTTGTATGTCATGTATAAGAAGTGTACCTAAGGTCAGTTATTTAAACTGTAATGTAATTTCCATTGCAAAAAGTATAAACGGTATTACCTACTGATCAGAAAGGCTTATCAGTACCCCGCCGCCACCACCTCACCCTATGCCTACCCTATCCCACACCCTCTCCCTCTCACACACATGCACACACGTGCACACACTACCTAACATACATATCGCTCTGGCCCATAGACCCAATATTTGAACCTTTTAAACAGACATCATGTGTGTGTCAAGAAAGGCAGGCACGTTAATACTGGTGCTCAGTCATGGGTATCACTTCGCCATGTGTTTCTAATGATCTCCGGGCGTTATGGCGTGGTCCGACGCGCTAACGAACTCGATGTGACAGTTACATTACAGAATCATTGAAATACATGTTAAAGTAGTGTTAATCTTGTAACACTATATTTACCAATTACCAACCATTTACGCGTGTGCTAAATATATGACAAATCTAACCCTAGTCATACGAGATTTCAAAGGTATTAAAATGCATGTCTTACAATCATATCATTTACATATGTTACACATGCTAGAAAACACATGAAAACAATGACCAGATTTACACACCTGTGAAATACATGTAAATACAGAGTTGAATGTCAGTTTATTTTAACACCCCTTTAAACGTGTGTAAATCTGAAAGCCAGATGATACGTACATTTCAAATGTTTGTTCATATGGACGCCGGATGAAACGTATATTTCCTAACGTTAGTAAATTTGGGTAATATAGTCATTTTGTGTGGTGTTACTGAATAAACACATATTCACTTACCCAAAGGACAATTGTCATACCACAAGCCAGATTTCTCGAACCACTTCCGAGGAGATTGAAAAAGGGCATCACAATCCGGATGGAGTTTGGACAAGTAGAAAAGATGCACGCTTACTGGATCCTTGGGCTCTTGTAGATTCGAACATCCGAGCAATTCTGGTTAGTTGGATTAGTGCCTTGCCAGTTCTTCGTCTGTTCAGCTAAAGCAAAGGCATGATAGTGCTTGTTGTTGTCATCACGCTTTAGTTCAATTGTAGTTTTAGTAACCCTTCTTCAGCCCGTGAGAAAGGAGGGTCTTTTAGGATCCTGTGAACGGCTGCTCTTTGAGATCTTAATGTACTGGGTAGGTAGTTCAGCCTTTTTTCATCAGTTTTCAACATAAGATTTTCGAAGAAATTTGGAAAGATCCAGTGCGTTTATGGTTTGGAAATCTACGTTGATTCTACGCCGAAAAGACCAATCTATGAAATAAAAAGGAAAACAGTTTTAAGGAATAATTAAATTGTTTTCACTGATCTTTTTATAGGAGTTCCAAACATTTACAGGTAAATGATGTTTGCTTTAGAGTATTTGCTGATTTCCCTTCCATTTTAAGTTTTTCAAGTTCATCTTCATCTAAGTCACCATTAATTTCATCAAATTCGGCCTTTTCGCCCCAAAGCGAATCAGTAAGTTAACGAAGCGCTCGTACAATTTCTCGTAGCGACTAAGCCGCACCCACACAATCGGACGCCATCTTCCTTTGTCAGCGTTCGGTGCATCAAAGCCGCCCTCACGCGCACCCGCTGTGACGTCATTTGAAAACAGAACTGATAATGGCCCATCGTTAAGGAATCAGATGGCCAAATGTTATCATTAGCAGCGGCCCGCTCAATTGTGATAACTGGAGGGCGGTTTCATGATATTTCCATCCAATTTAGCTATAATTTGCATTATTTTTCAAGACGTATTGTATTTGCACTTTAGTTCTAACTGCCACTAATCATGGTAAGCACTTATGTTTCTCTTACCAGATATTTGTATTCATTTGTAAACCACGTTGAAAAGATTGCTGTTTAAATTGCGCAACACGTTGTAGTATTTTGTGTTGGTATCACATCAGTTGATTTGTAACAGACAGGTTTCTTCATGTTTCGACTCCGAAATCTATGTGTTACAATGTTGCTTTTGAGGAGAATACATGAAATACATGAAAATATTCTGTATTCAATTTTATGCCCTACTGTCATATGTTGCTGAAGCCTAGGTCGATTATTACTCTAATCATTCAATATCGGTTCACTTTGAACTTGTTATGATAAAAATTGAAACCATTCACTCGTGTGTAAATATTTGAAATACTTCCGTCTCTTGGGGATCAAAATTATTTGAAATATTTATTGAACATAATGAATACTTTTCAACAGTATCCACTTTTGAGAAATACATTTAGCCTTTCGACAGCATAGCAACGTCGCATATGTGTTATAAGAATACAAATATTGTTAAATACGAAGCAAAAGTAACTTGTTACAATGTCAAAAGATGCAATTCAAAAGTTGCAATTTGGTTGACACCTTGTATGCGGTACGGTTTCTATCTTCTGTTCATGATGACATACTTTCAGTCACGTCAGAATCGTAATCAAGTCCTCATGGCTATGAAGGAAGAGCAGGGAGCAGTTTAGAAGACAGTTACACGTCTGATCCATAAAAGACAGCAACCACGGACACCCAATGCACCTTTTACCACCCCCCATCCCACCGACTCCACTTTTCTCCCCATGGCCACATCCGCACCCGAGGATACTGCTAATGCTCTCTCTTTTAGCTGTTGATCGATTCGACTTTTCTGGGCAAATACACTGAGCTGTTTGCAAATCCGTTACCTAACAACTACTAAGTGCATGCAATCCACGACAAAAGGATAATGTCAGCCATCGAGCATTAAACAAAGTCAACATGCATCTGTTATGTATTGAAGACACTCAACAACACAAGCCATATATATAGACGTTCATGTACCACAAGGCTGAACAGTCAGCAGAGATTCGACATCAACGACCAGTTAAACAGAGACACCAAGAAAGAAGATGTTCTAATACTTCATGTGCGCAGGGTTTGAAACCGGAAGACCAACGTCTCTCTCACTCTGGCAATGAGAGGCAACAAACCTTTACACGAGGTGGTGACTGTACAGGGATTATCTCAAATATGTGACGCCAATTCCAATATCTCTAGACGAGTAGCCTGGTTCTTTATCTTTTGTGTCGGACTTGGTTTCACCACTTTCAACATCTACAATCAGATATCTCTATATCTGTCTGTCCCTGTCAACGTGAGAGTGGATCAAATCCTGGACAACACCCTTCTGTTTCCAACCATAACAATATGTAATAACAATATCGTGAGGAGTTCACTGCTCGAGCATCTTGGATGGAGCGATGTGTTACAAGTGACGTATCCATATACTGATTTCAATGAACAGTTACCAAACGTAAACCTAAGTCAGTTGGACATCTCCAAGATTTTCAATCTACAAGTATCAGCGAACAGCACTTACGGACACATCATGGAAACCAGTATCATTAAGGTAGGTAGCATGAGTAAATAATAGAGGGAGCTAACATGGTCATACTTACTTGTATGGGAATTAATGTTCTTATTTTCCTCCATGTATTCATCTACAGAAATATGTTTGGCACAGTCAGCTTAACTGCATCCTGAAATGCAGACATGTAATATCTTCCTTTCAGTGACTGCATACACTATTTCAATCTGAGATGTTCAGTGTTTTGTTCACCATTTCATTGCTAGGCATTGCTATATTACTTGAATAACATTTATAAATTTGACACAGGATGAATACTAAACACTTTTACATGTATTTATATATGTATGTATATGTATACTCTGAGACTTGAATAGAATTCTCGCCATTGATATGTTACTTAGACTACTTATATATAAATATAGCTTGCCTTAGTATAAATGTTTATGCAACAAACTCTTCATATGACACAGACACTAACATTGCTTCCCAGAATGCATTGAGAACCTCGTCCATACCTGTGGGTATGGTATAAGATATACATATATGAAGAAATTAATATAATGCGTGATGATGTTTGACCTTGCTCATTACGCACTCGCACGCCTGTTATCTTCAGCTGGCTATGACACAAATGCTACTTACTCACTCACTCATGCACTCACGGATACACTCACTCACACACACAATTTTAACTTTTATTTTAATCCAGTTATTACGCCATTTATATTTAAGGCATATTCGTTGAAATCGCAATGTGAATTGAAGGTAAGACTTAAGGAGGTATATTTGTGCCACACCCGCGTGCATAACTTATTTCACTCACTTTATTCACAAAGAGCACTCGAACCCTACCTTTGTCAAACAACAGAAATAGGTATAACATCTGTGTCTAATTTTTATTAATACATCATCATTGTTTGTCATCAGGAATTCGTACATGAAGGTCCCAAATTCCCAACCACTTGTTATAAAAGCCAGCTCAGCACTTCCCGTTACCTGCTTCATAATTATGATTGGTTTTCTACTAAAGATGACGCACATGATATCACTTCCAAGAATTAATGGTATTGTTCCAGTAAGATATATTTAGTAAATAGTATATGTAAACCAGCCAAATCAGTAAGTGTTGAGAAGGGTTAAATATGCAACAAAAGCGAAATTTCTGAAAATTATTTGGTGTTTTACTACTCAACAATAAAGACGACAACGCAAATGAATTCTTCAACCTCAGTTGAGAACAGCAGTCAGTGGAGCTGGCACGGCCATGTTAACATCGCCCCATAATGAACCATCTTATTTTCTTTCAGTGTGCGTGGGAGTCAGCGCCATGTGGAAAAGACGACTTTGTCTACCTGGAAACTGATATGGGGAAATGTTTCATGTATAACGGTAAGTTATATTGTCATGGAGACATCCAAACTCTGCAACCCAGTAGCGAGTGTTAAGGCCACGTACTTGGATGATAGGATTTCTGTGAGTCAAGATTTCAATCTACTGGTTCAAAATGTTTTGGACATTCCTGCACGGTGTGGCGTCCAATGGATTCACCAGTTTCACGGCTGCATTGTGTCAGGTATGGCAGCAATTATCCCCAGACCGTACCTTGAGTCATCAAGGTAAGTGTAAAAGTACTCTTTCACGGTGAAATGACATACACAAGTAAAAGACGCAGGCTCGTCTTCTTCTCTTGAAATGAAAGCATAAGTAAAATGTGAATCTTCTATTGAGCCCCAGCTTGTGTTTTCCAGTATTGTATTGGTGATAACCACTTTGTTTAAAAGATCATCATTGACGAAACCACACTTATTGAAAACTGGGAGGCTACCTGCTTTTAAGATGAAAAATAATTTAATAAAAACTAATGACCAAATTTAGAGATAGTTCATTTTGGGGTGATGATTTTCGAGAACCAAGCTGTATGATTGTGTATGGATTTAGAAAAAGGACTATTACATTCACAGCGTGTTTTGCAGTATTTTTTCTGAAAACTTCATTTTTGTGTAGCATAAAATTCGTATTTATTGTGTCAGTTTGCTGTCTTACATTTCTGTGATACTAAACAGACTGAAAGTTGTTCTGATATTTAAACTCAAACGTTTCAGTCATATGCTGTCTGTCACATAAGGAACGGCTATGTGCAACTTGATTAGCAGAGCACTGTGGCTCTTAAGATATCACAGTTAGTAATTAGAAAATTACAATCATGATAACGACAGACAATTAACGTTAATGGCCCATGTCGATCTAGTCGACCAAGTACAGGAATGTTTCATCAGAAAGACCTTGGAATGAAACCTTGGTGAAAGGGCTTCTCAAATATGAGGTGATCTTCACAGACCTATTGATGTTATGTTATTATGGTTATCTGACGTTCTGCATCTAAGCCAGATATCTCTGCTATAGATATAATTATAGTGGGTTATTTCACAAAAAGTCTTCTGAAAAAATGAGATACCTTTCTTTTGTGTAGGCGCTTGGCGTTATCAAGTGACATAATGTTTACTCTTGTAAAATGCACATACATGCTTTCTGCTTCAGGTAATGGTTCCCTGCTTGCTCGGAATTCCGGACGTGCCCATGGTCTGCGCCTCTTGCTTAATGTCCAGGACGAGGAATATTCTCGGAGTCATGATGGATATCTTGGGACAGGGTTTATGGTGAGTGTTAATGAAAAGTTGTTAAATTTTGAATAATGATTATGTAAATGACCCCATTAACTGAATCGAATCGAATCCAATGCCAACACTCATATACACCACCGAACATGTCTGTCCCCTCAAACAATTACCATTATTCCTGGTTGTTCGTATCCCTGTACTACTACTGCGCATGCAACGACGAACACACCAACATCTTGGACCTGGGACTGTTTGCTGAACGGTGATTGACCTGTAGAATGTTACTCATAATAAGACATATTATCAAAATCTACTCAGATTCGCAGAAACAGCTATCACCATTATCTGTAAGCAGGCAAGATCAAAACAAGGAAACTGCTGCCGCAACATACCATTATTGACAAATATATATGCTCTCTCCTGATATAATTTATCACATCTAGTATTTCCGTGTATGACCATGGTATTTCTAGTGGTAATTTCTGTTTGTTCTGACCTGAAGGTGGCTGTTCACGCTCCGGAGGTGATCCCAATCATGTCTGCTATGGGAATGGCGGTAGCTCCCGGCTCACAGCAATTTGTAGGTATAGGAGTGAAGGTCAGTTTAACACTCTGTTAAAATGAGTTACATATCAGTAGTAAACCGCACCTACCAGGCTTTTCGGTTATATTTTCATCTACGTTAAGTACATGCATTGTTGTCACCGCCATGTCGTCTGTAACTGACTCATGCTGTTGATCACTGGATTGTCTGGTCCAGACTCGATTATTTACAGACCGCCGCCATACAGCTGGAATATTGCTGAGTGCGGCGTAAAACTAAACTCACTCACTCACTCACTGAAACTGACGGAAAAACTTAAGAATGATGAAAACTAAGTACAAACTAACCATCTTCCAATGGTGAATTGTGCAAAAATTACATATGCGATAGTCGGTCATTTAAAAACACATTCAGGTATATTTGTCTTTTATTCAAAAATAAGATATTGCATCAGGTCTTTGAATGGCTTGTGCTGCTGTCATTGGATCCAGATCAATATCTTCTCGATAACCCAATGACAGTTCAATTTTCACAACAGAAACAAACGCAAAACTAACAGTTTTTAAATATATTAATAGACACCCTAAATATAGAATATACATAATCTTTTCAGACTCTTTCGTGCCTTTAGGCTATAAAATGATTTTGTTTGTTAACATCAAGTTTTAATCGAAATAGTTGAATCATATGTTGATCTTGCTACTGGCCAATACGACATCGTCCTCTGTTGGTTACCCAGCCATGTTGGGATTTCTGGTAATGGCCGAGTTTACAGCTAAGGCAGCACTCGACAAATCTGTGACACCACGTCTTATTCAATACGTTGATTATAAACCTGTTATTACATCGTACATCCGTGATCTGATGCAGAAGAAGTGGGACACCCAAGAAGGTATTAATACATTTCATGCTATAAAACCCTATATTGGTTATACCTACTTGGGTTGTCAGTCCAGAGGTCGTTATACGACGTTGTCGTTTTGGCCCTTCAAGATGTACACATAGGTATTTGCTTAAAAGTGAGGATCCTCCACAAGGGATAAATATTTCAGTTAAAAGTGTTAAGGATCTTTTTATTCATGTTAATTACCATTTAATTGTCGAATTTGTAAAATAAATTGAACTGATTGATAAATTTTAATTTCATATGTTTTGTAGAGATGTTTTTTATTATTTGGTAGATTAAATTACAAACTCAGATTGTTGATAGCTGTATCCTCAAAGGGGTTAAAGTATTGTAAAATTTTTTTCCTCCTGAGAGGATACGTAAGTCCCCAAACATTCAATGAGTTAATATAATCCTGCCACTTTTTTAGTCGTAGAATATGTTTTTACTGTATGGCTGGATTTGTCTAAATTGCTAACAGCTGAAGGGATGATGTAAATCCAACTTGTGTCCAGCAAGCAAATGTACTGTAAGTCCTCATGGTCCCTAGTATGGTGATCTACCTTCAGTTGTTGGGAAAATCTATAGCCTGTTTATATAGGGCATTGTCTTATAGTGAAACACTTTTAGATTTCCATACTAGTTTATAGTTTATATCTATATCTGTGATCCTCTGGTTGTTTTACTGTCCTTCGTTGACAGGCTTTTATATTGTGACTTACTTTATCATAAATCTATAACTTGATTTAGTTACGATGTGGTGAAATACTGCCGATGTGACTTAAAATCGTAACTCACTCACCCACTCACTCTTTGAATAATGGCATTTAGAAGTGATACACATAAAGAAGAGAGTTTTTATGGGTGTCTATGAGGAACACAACGTTTCGGAGTATATGCTTTTTTTTTTTTTTATACAGTCTTTAATTCAGCCTCGGTAACCACGGGTTTACATAAACCATACAAATCCACGTGGTCAGGGACTACTGGTTTATAGCCTTAACCTTTTACCAATTATATTTTCTATTGTAAATCTAACATGAGTGCTTCTACACACATAAACTTTACCTATATATATCTTTATTTCCAGAGCATATTACAACTCATAATGAAATGCTTTATAGAAACTTTGATATCGGTATAGTGAGACTTATACATAAAGTATTTTAAATGCATATTTCAAAATACTGAAGCAAACGTCCTTACTTAAGGAGTAGGGATATATTCCGAAACGTTGTGTTCCTAAGATTTTGTATGTTTGTAGTTTGGTTTGAAGTTAAATGTACATGTCTGTAAATTTCGAGTTCACAGAAATGTTTTCAGCATTAAATTTGAAGCACACAAATATTAGACAAACATTTTAAAAAGTCAGAATGCAGCACATTTGCCTGTCGCAAAAGACAACCTCACGGATTGTTTGCAAGGCTCGGTACATGCCATCGTATGAAAACAACATAGTTATGAAACAGACGATTTGGTTACTGACAGTGGTTAAAGTGTCCGTTGATGAAGAAGCGCATCCATTCTCCACATGGTTACAATATTTGAAGATATATCCTTGTGGCGCCTATCGTAATGATTCTTGAAAGTTTCTAAACTGGGCGTAGAACACCGCAGTCACTCATACGACACCTACCAGGCTGCATTGTTACTATCAGTATAATGATGTCTGTTGTGCGAAACAACAGCCACAACTGCAACAACATGAAACACAAACTAATTGGCTCAGTCAATCAGTCAGTCACTCGCTCACTCACTCAAGGAATAAAATATTTCATATTGTAATAATATCAGGATAAATTTGCATTTGTTATTTGTGAGGGAACGAAGTCAACTCTTGCCAAGCGTATGTGGACTTATAGAGCAATATTTCAGCTGGAGCAAAGATACTTTGCTCAGAGATTTCTGTCGATGGGAGAATTGTAGCTGTGCCGTCAACTGCACGACGACAGATGATTTCTTGTTTTCTATCAAGTGACTCAAACTACTCAATGCTAGGACCTGATGTATTGGGATAAAGATCTTATCACTGATTGATTATTTTATCACGTCATGAGTGTCAAATGGTAAGTTATCTCACTTGATTCGGGATACAGATGGCAGCTGGTGAGAGTTTCTACTTGCACATAAAAGCATGAACGCCGACGACCGCTGATCTGTGGTTGGAGATTACGCGTTACTGGGTTGGGTATTGTAAAAATAATTATTCTTCACACAGTGATGATGTTATTTCTGTATTATGACAGGAGGTAACAGCACATGAAGGTGTAGGCGGCTGTGGAGACAGGCTTCTGAAGTATGTCACTGGAAACTATTCCCGGGATGCATGCAAAAGGGAGTGTGAGATAGATTTCATCGTCAGCATGTGCAACTGCAAGACCTTTACAAACAAAAGCCTCGATGTAGCAGTTTGCACCGCCAAACAGTTCCAAGAATGTTATGTCCCTGCTAAAGCTAAATATCTGCAGATAGACACTGGCTGTGAAGCTGGATGTCCTGAGCCGTGCAGCTACACCAGCTTCACCACTCAACACTCCAGTTCCCCACTGACCAGGAACTACATTACTGCGTACACCAAGGCCAAGGGTAAGACTGAAGAGTACTGGAGGAGGAATCTGGTTATTCTGGAGATGTATCTAAACTCTATGACCTACGAACACATGGAAAAACAGGTGGGGTATGAGATCCTGGATCTGTTCTGTGACATCGGTGGAGCACTGGGTCTGTTGCTTGGTGCCAGCCTGCTGACAGTGTTAGAAGTGTTTGACTTCTTATGTATCACTGTCTTCTCGGTGGTGTTTGAAAAGAACAAAGTTCATCAGATTGACAGAGAGGGCAACTCCAAATAAGCCATTGGTAATGTAAATGCACAATAACAAACACCCGAGATAGTCATTGAAGACACCAGGTGTTCTGAAAAGGTTAACCCTGTCCTATCCTACTGGCAGCACATGACTTTCACGCAATTTGCATGTAAAAGTGAGTGCCCTTTGCCTAAGGCTGCACTCCAGTCCCCCGGGTCATTCATATATTGTTGTGTGCTGCATTAGTGGGATTATGTGCATATTGAATATTAAAATACCTGTAAATGCATTCTTTGTTCTGTTTCTGTTATGATGTTCACAGTGTTATTCAATAGGCATATGACAAACATCACTTACAACCGGATCAATGGGATATTTCCAAATGGAAACATTTCATTATGACATACAGCTAGCTAGATCACTGATACAATATTTGGACTACGCCGACGGTTTTATTACTATTTCAAATAAATGAGAACACAGGAACAACTATATTAGACAGGGAAAGCTACAAGAAATAGTAGCTGCTTGTGCACTCGAGTTGATGCAAATTATCCATGTGGTCGATTTCTGTTTAACAGAAGTTTTCAAAGCTGTTCCCAACCCATTTTTGATATCGTCAAAGTTTTTCGGTCGCCAGGGAAAAACTTCAGTCATTTGACACACACTCAAATACCCAAATCCGAGAAATTGCACAATGAAATAGGATGCCCTTCCGGCACTAGTTTTAAACAGATATACTATATGTAAATCCATCTGAGCCATACATGGAGATATACATTTTGAAGATAGAACGTTTTGTTGATGTTTATTTGCTTATCTGAATCTAATCAATTTCATGTCAGGTGATCCAGGTTTCCATAATCAGTGTAATCCATGATCATTATTTGACAATGTGAAAATAACCAACGTTCATGTCAATGAATTAAACGTTGCATATCCTGTGATGGATTTACACATGGACTTTGGTAATAATGTGAATAAATGTTAAGTGTATTTGTGATTCTACCATGAATCAAGAAAATACTAGATTCTGATTGGTTGTTCAGAAAAATCAGACGGCATCAATTGTGGATTGACGCTCATCTGATTGTAAGGCCGCTTCACCGCGCATTAACAAATCTTATTGTGAGAACTACTTCCGTTTGACCACAATGATGGCGGATCATAACAACAACTCCATGGATTTTGACGCTGACTTTCGAATTTTCCACACAGGCAATTGGAAATTTTTGGATTAAAAATGCGTTTGATTTCATTGCGCTTCACTGCGCACGTATAGAACACTGCCGCACTACTTCAGCTTGACCACCAACATGACTAATATCAACACAACAGACGTGATGGAAATGCTGATAAAACATTTATTTAAACTCGAAAAATACAGTTATATGATTTCCCCCCCAACAATTATGAGGGAACCTCACTATCATATTACCTTCTATTATAAAAATATTCAAACTCAATTACAATACACAGCCCCAAACATAAACAAAACAATATCTAACACATAAATCAGAAAGCCTTGTAAAATACATCCCTATCTATACAAAATATGCAGCAAAACATTAGTAAACATTTACCTACCTGGTAAATGGTATATTTAATTCCGTTTAGAATGGGAAATTTGCAAGATAGATCTAACGGTCTGGCGAAACACCACATTTATGCCACTCATAGTCATACTCCATCATATCCCGTTGCATCGTTCACAAAATAATTCTGCTCTCTGCCAGTTTCCCCGCAAGGTTGTCACTGTTATGTTCATCTACTTTGAAAAACGCTTGGACACAGTCCAGTCCCAAACGATGAAAACAAAGTTCCAAGGAATCACAAGTTAGTCGCATGTACAATAAGCAGCAGTACTGTCACTCTTTTGTCGCATGCCGGGGTGGAGGCAGTACGTGAAATCATGATCGGCCGGTCATAAAAAATCAACAGTCTGTGATGAGTTACAGTTCGTAGGTTGATCAGGAAAGGATCTATTCTTCGATTCTGCAGGGTTCAGATTCAACAGTCAGTCAAGTATTGTCCACTGTCACTTCAAATTTCAACCTTTCGCAAAATGTAAACAACACTGGCTCGTCCGCCATTTCAAACTGTTGCGTAACTGTCTTCTTCCAAGAAATTAAGTAGGTCAGACGATTCCATTATAGTGTGGCCAGGGGGGGTACAGTTTCACGGCACACAAAACAATAGGCTGGTTTTAGTCGTGTGGAGTTGGGATGAAAAACAACAACAAGATCTCGGGTATTACCTAATTGCATTGAATAAACAGTAGTTTGATTTCTTTGGACAGAATATTGTTATGTTGTAATAGTAATACGAACGAATAAAAAAAATACGAACGGCATCTACCGCTCCCTTCACAGACGAGTTCAATTCGCCTCTCGTCCCATGCCGGATTACGCAGTGTCTTCCGCAGAGCGAGGAAGTTCGATTTTAAATGGGTCATGGTAGAATGGAGATAACCCTAATGTAGTGTGTTTGAAAATCAGAGACATGCTTTACATGTTTATCTCATAAACAGACTATTGTCATGAATGTGATACAGCCAGTGTTGGACAGGACAATTATATCCGTGTTGGCTGAATTGATCTGGGGTATACATGTACAGTGGACTCTGTATAATCTGACATCTGAATTATCCGACAATCTGTGAGATCCGACCTAGTTTTGGGGTCCCGGCAGCGTTCTTCTATATTATCATCATTTATACATTGATTTATACGACATCTGTACATTCCGAATTCCGACACCATTTTCTGGTCCCAATGACACTATTAATCTGTACAATCCGACATCCACTCCCCATACTGGACTGAAATAGCCAATCAACCTGTCAATGGTCAGTTGACAACTAACATCCTGTTACTGGTAATCTCTTTGGTCCCAGCACTTGCTAATTTGGAGGTAAGTGTGAACATGATTGTGATAGCAGTATATGTATGTAAATTGTACTGAAGATAATAAATCCAATGATATACATGTACATGTAAATACAGAATTTGTTTTTTTCCCTTTATTTAGCAAGAAAATAGCTATTAAGCATTAATTTCTTGATATAAGCCAGTTACAATGTATGATACTGTTTGAAAAGTATTGAAGCAAGGAGACATTGAATTATCCGACATTCTGTATAATCCGACATTTTTTCCCGGTCCCAGTGAGTGTCGGATTATACAGAGTCCACTGTATATGGAAAGCTGAAAGAAACGTTTTCTTCTTTCTGATGTCTTGATTTGTTACTAAATACGTAGTATCTTCCCCTGAAAACACTGGGGTTTCGTTGCTCACATGTTTTCTAACGCTCACATTCATCTCATGCTATTAGGATTAATGTCTTTACAACAAAAATCAAGCTGCATCTTTAAGTCGCGTAACAAAATGATGTTATCGTTATAAATAGGAATAAAAGAGATCTCATTGGGCATGAGTTAAAATGTTGTTTAAGGGTTATGTTAGTGTCCTATTTGGGACCTGATAGTTCAGGATCACGCGATCTGCACGTACAATGAGCGAAATGTTTCCATTCAGCCTAATCAAATATCATCACTTCCCTTGCAACCAGTTATTTTCGCAATCTGATATACATCGATGTGACGCTGTTTATAGCTTCTAAATAACAAAGGTCAACGGAACACCTCGTCATATTTATGACACTTAAAGACACTATATCACACCGCACCTCTCTAAAAATAAATAATGCATTTCTCTCAATAATACTAACTATCAGTCATCAGGGAAGCTCCATATAATTTATTCTAAAAATATTACATATTTAGATTACACAATTAAATTAATAAGTTCGAATGAATTAATGCAACGTTGCTTTAAATCGACTCTCGCCCTCTACCGATCGAACCTTATTTCAAGCGAACCCCATAGAGCTATGTCCCTCAGATCGCTCTTTACGAATACCCTACGCACAACTTGTGATTGTACCAATTCGGCAAATACCGACAACACTGCGTGCAACAATTTTTGGTGTACGGAACAACTGTTTACATTCCCTATATGGCAAGTATTCTCTGCTTGGAAGCTGTTCGTCTCGAAGTTTCAATTATCGATTTCAGGCAAGTCGTAAGAGATAGCAAGTCTTTTATTGCATCAATAGGATACTAAAGTGAATGCATAAGCAACAATATATATAATATAGGCCAAAATGTAGTCGAAAATATGTGACATTCTATATTGTATCACTGAAAACCTTCTACTAATCAGGCACTCGTGAAGAGCAGCCTCCTGGTGGTGAGTGCTGTTAACGCTAATAGCCCCTGTATCCCTGGTGTTAGCAACTTGACACCGTCCATGTCGACACTCCATGGTCGGTGGGGAGTAAGGGTGCTGAACCATATTCTTTTCTTTATGACAACACAGCTACCTGGATCATCAAGAAATGAAAAAAGAGACGAATTGACAATGTCGATGTATATTTGAGAACTGTTTATTGTAATGCTGATTCCTGGGCTCGTTTCCTGGTGAGGGAGGCTACTGATTTTCTGCCGATGAAACTAAATCCTTTTGCTGTTTTTGGAATTTGTGGGTATGTTAAGAACGCCAACAATCTCTCAGTCAGTTATCGGTAGAGGGGCGGTGGGGTAGCTTGGCGGTTATTATTAACGATCACTCGACACGCCGTAGACACGGGTGTGTAAAGCCCATTTCTGATTTCCCCGAATATTGCTGGAATATAAAAGCGGCGTGAAACCATGCTCATTCACTCACTCACTGTTATCGCTATAACATTTGCCAATACTGCCACAGGTCATCACATCCCAATTGTGTAGATCGATGATCATGTTGTTGATCACCGGATTGTCTGGTCCAGACTCGATCATTTAGAGACCTCCGCCATATAGCTGGAATATTGCTGAGTGCAGCGGTAACAACAACCAGCCTTAATTTCCTTCCGCCAAATTTCACGGTCATGTAATATTAATGAGTTAATTCAACATTTCAGATTTCAGTCTCAGTAAATTTTCAAAGGATATATTTCAATGCAATCTCAACCGTTACTCACTCACATACTCATTACAAACGCTGATTATGATCCCTCTTACAGATATGTTATGGGTTGACGTGTTTGTAGCAAACCAAATGACACATTGAGGACATCGAAATTGATATGGTTGAATTGTTTTGTGTTTTTGTTGGTGATTAAATAATTATTTACATTGTACTGTGACGTACCTCATGATACAGGCTGGTGTTGAGGATTGTGGAGGAAAGCGTCTGAAACATTTCCCCAGCGACTATTCATGGGAAACATTCAGACTACTGCGAGTAAGGTTCAGCAAAGTCCAAGCAACATCTCAGTAGGAAGCATTAGAAATGGGCTTCACACAATGTAGCCATGTGGGGAACCGAACCCGGCGCTTCAACGACTATCCACTCTGTGATGAGACACTTTCTTCACTAGAATACTGAGGTGGTCCACTTTGTCATGAAGCACATTAACCAATCATAATATAATATTTCACATGTATCAAACCCATTATTATGTGAAGAAAAAAATTGAAAATCTCGGAAGGAGGAAGACATGTTTGAACTGGCGCCAAAGAGGTAGTAGGATTTTGCTTATGCGCAAACAATGATTGCCTTGAAATTACAACATAAACCCGAGTCAACACGTGCGACCTATGACGGTATATACATTCGTCAACTCAAGGAAGGCGTTTCAAAGTTATATAAAGTTAGTTAGAACCATGTTAAGGGTGAATTTGCAGTAATATTCAAGTTATATCAAGAAGATCTTGAATAATGGAAGAGACAATTTGATAACTGAAATCATGAGCGTCAATCTTGCAGTTTGGGGTAAAATTATATGAAGCAATCGAATCGACTCAATGACTCTGACCATCGATAAGCACAAATTGCTAAAGATAAATTATAACAT